CAAATACACCACTTGCTTTGATGGAAGTCATGCCATGATGAGAAACATTTATAACCTTGAAACCTATATGAGATAATATGAATTCAAAGGCTAATTGGTTACCACAGGTAGCTGGATTTTATAAATTAACATATACCTCAATAATAGAATCAGCTCAAAGGCTTTGCATAACATAATGTTGGATATTTGATGGCACTTAGACCTAAGTTCTGAATAGCCCAAACAATTGAGCTTGGTGTCATTTATACTACTTTATACAGACACATTTTATTGTACACATCATGATAAAGTGCATTAACTAAAACAACACTCTGGACTGGGAGGAGAATCAACCCACTCACTTTGTGAAATCAATGATGGTTTCTTTTCTATTCGCTGCTACAATATTGTGTCAATTTCTAGTCTCACCCTCTGCTGGTAAATATGAGTAAGGTTATTAATCTTACATTATATAGGTGTATTTACTATTGTACCAGTGACACAATATGTATATGTCAATGATACCGTGACATTTGAATGTGCTGGATTCATTGGGACTGGGTTTACTCTTTCATTCTTTTATGGAACTAATGTAATGGAAAATGAAACTGATTTACCTAATGGAGGAAAGAGGACAACATTTACTGCTACTAGTGAAGTGAATGGTACTGACATTTTTTGCTTGCCTCGTATGGGAATCATGATAAATACTTCTGAAGCAGCTTACATTTATATTCAAGGTATTACGATCTTTGATTTATTTTAGCATCATGTAGTTGGATTTTGAAAATTAACATACCTCAACAATAGAGTCAGCTCAAGCGCTAAATTGAATTAAGTACCAGATCAAATGTACTTTTTATTTTCTCTCACTCTCTTTTAAAACCAAGCACTCAGACCATTTAGTAATGGCATCCTTTGTCTTTCATTCTTTATCTCTTCTCATACACACTTAATAGCACATATCAGCATGCAGTGTAAAAAGTGTCGTACCCCCAAAATTTGTATTATATAACTTTAGCCTGCATAGCCTATGCTAACTGTATTAATTGTGCACTTGTCAACTTGGACAATTTTTACCAGAACAGATAACTTTGTGACAGTGCATTAACTAAAACAACACTCTAAACTGGAAGCCACTCTTTTTGGGAAATCAATGATGGTTTCATTTCTATTCATTGCTACAATATGATGTCAATTTGGTGCCCCTGGTGCTAGTAATTATATGGGCATATTGGACATTTTAGCATAGAATCACAAGTCCAGTATTTCATAGGACCTTGCCCTCAGTCCTTATAAAAGCCATTCTAGCACTCTCCGGCAAGTTATAATTATTACTTAAGTTATTTTGGAAATAACTATATTAGCAAATAGACCAAAAAAAGTAAAACAAGTAACTTTAAAAAATTCATAGCAACAAAAAATTGGTAAAAATTAGCAAAAAACCTACAATAACATCAAAAACTTTATAACCAAGCAAGAGAAATGAACTTGATGGGGTTATTTGTCATTGCAGTAAATCTTTATGGAATTTCCATAAATATCCACTACCCAAACTTTACCATCTGGACCAATAGCAATATCATTAGCCGAGGATAGTCCAGTAAATTTTTCAACCACTTTCCCGGTAGCTATTTCAACTTTCAAAGCCTTTCCAGAGCGATCAGCAACATAAAGAAAATCCTCATTAAGAGGGTTGAGATGAATTCCATCCATAAAAGAAACAGTTGGTAGAGAGATATTTTTTATGAGGCTACCACTTCTATCAAAAACAAAAACTGCCTTGCTGTGGTGTTCGCCAACGTAGAGATTCCCTTGTTTATCAAACTGGATCTTCCTTGGGTAGCATGATTTTCCAACACTGAAAGTGTGGGATTTGGTGCCATCAATGTTGTATACGTTGATCTTGCAAGTGGTCCATTCGTTGATATACATCAACCCATTGTAATCTAATGCCACTGAAACAGCCTTGGGAGAATAGTGTACGCCATACAGTTCTCCACTGAGTG